AGTTCTTTTACTAGTAGACGTTTCAGCAGGCCAAGAATTATCTAAGGTTTTAGCACATTTCATTTGCTTCTAGATAGCCCTCATTTTCTAACTCCACATATTAAAGTCCCCCCTCCTATCAAACATACTCATTTCAAACTTAGCAGTAGCCATCACAGAATGTCAGGATAATGTACAAAGCACAAGTTTGAATTTCAAGAATACAAGGAGGGTCACATAGAACAGGACTACTAACAGATCACAGATTAGTGTTAATCAACAATGCACTTAGTAAGATAATCTCAAAACAATGATCACTCGATTCACGGTAAAGAAGCAGAAACAAAAAACAGAGATTGCTATCCCTATGTATCTCAGCCGAATTTCTCCAGCAAGACCTTCCAATTGCACTCCTCTACCGTGTTGTTGTCTCAGATTCCCAATACTTCTTAGAGCCTTTGGACAAAGACCAATCACGAGAGGGTTTTACAGTACAAGGTAAATCAAGGGAAAATATTCAAGAAATACAATAAGTAAGATTACCAGACACGAAGTATAGGAAAGATCTCACCAAAAAAGTTCTAAGAACTCAAAATTCCTTTTGCTTGAGTTTACACAGTTTGAAGCAAGTTTCGAATCCACAGTTTCCTCAAAGATCAGGTATCAATGTTCAAGAGGCCAGGCTCTGATACCACTGTAAGAACGAGAAAACTTCAAGATTAATCAATTATATGATCAAACATTCAATAACAGAAATAAAATGAAAAAAATAAAAGGATCAACACAAGATTTTTCGACCGTAGCCCAAGAGGTTTGGCGACCACTTTCTAACGCCTAATCCCATGTTGAGCATCCATTATAAATGGATAAAGTTCGGTTGCACTATAAGCCAAAAACGACAAACAACATTTCCAGAAATTTACAACACCAAAGTCACAAAGACTTATCTTTGCAGGAGAACCACAAAATAGATCACTCTTCAACAAGTACACACGCGAGATCACTCATATCTACAGAAAACCCTATTGCTTTTCACGAACCACTAAGGTTCTTGGAACCAAATACACCACACAACTCAGCAGTGGATAGATCTACTATATTACAGGTTCTTTACTACAATTTTATTATTGGAACACTCAAAGAATTTAACCCTAATAACAAGAATGATGGGTTCTCACACAGAGAGACGAGAGAGAATAGAGAGATGAATAGTCGACCCAAAAGTCTTCCCAGTGAGCTGAAAAGGCACGTTTGGAAT